ATCAAAACTGAGAAAAAGAAGAATTTTAAAGAGGTTTGGCAGAAATAAAAAATAGCTTCTACAAGATTTGCCGAGTGATTTCTCTCAGCACATAGAAGGCTCTAATATTTCTAAAAGGGGCTCCGTGAGAGAGACGATGCTAACTTTTATTAGTACGTTCTGGTAATTGTTGTCAGTGAGCTTATATGATGTCAAAGACACCAAAGCAATTATGGAGATATTAACAAATGGTGCATGGTGCTTGTTTTCTGAACTGGAGATAATATGTTCAGGTTTGCTTCTGGGAATTCATTGTTTTAAAGTCTCCAATATATCACCTACACAGAAGGCATTGATTAAATTAATGTAAGTTTATAACGACATTTTTGTGACTGGAGTGTCAGGATGTCTCCCCTGGACCACAGAGTCTGTGAATCAGTGTAGTGGTATATGCGGGAAAAGCCAACATTAATTCCACAAATGAAGAATTATGTCTTCACATTGCCTGAAACATTTGCCAGAGAATCTTGGCAAGATTAGGTGGTGGTGTTTGACTGCTTGGAATGAAAGGGATGCCGCCCTGCTTAACCCTTGGCAGGGACTTGCACTTACGAATATCCCTCTTCTGGGAAAAACAATCTTTCAATTCCTCAAGAGAGGAAGAAACACAGAAGTGCATTATAATTTTGAAGACTTCTCTAAAATATATTTACCTACACTTTTCCTTCAACACTTTCCATCCGATATTCAAATGGAATTGATAGACGCGAATATACTATTACTTTAGGTTTAGCTCATTGCCACCTTTCACAGTTAATGATTTTTTAAAAACTCATTTGTTATTGAGGTAGAATTTGTGTACAGTGAAGTACACAGAATTTTATGTGTGCGGTTCAATGAGTTTTCACAAATGTATACAGCACACTCATGTAGCTAATAGCTGAATATTTCCATCACTTCAAAATGTTTTTTATGCTCCTTTTTAGCCAATCACCACCCCCATCTCACTAGAAATAACCACCTTTCTCATTTTTATTATTGTAGTTTTACTTGTTTTTGAACTTTATATAAATGAAATCGCACAATATGTATTCTTTTGTGCCTCTTTTCTTTTACTTAACATAGTTTTGACATGCGGTCATGTTATTGTGTGTATCAGTAGTTTATTATTTTTTATTGTGATGTAGTTAGCATTTGTATATGTATGTAAAAAATTTGTTTTGCCATTTTTCTGCAGATGGACATTTACAGTTTCCCAGTTTTTGGTCACTATGAATAAAGTTGCAAAGAAATTCTTAAACTGTTCTATTTGTTTCTCTATATCCTATGTCTCTTGGGTGATACCTTGCAGTGGAACTGTTGGATGATAGCCTAGGTCTATGTTTACCTTTATAAGAAACTAGGAGACCGTTTTCCTAGGATGAGTGTCTGTTTTTCACTCTCAAAGGCAACACATGAGAATCCCATTTGTTTCACAAACTCATCAATATGTGATTGTGTCTGTCTTTTTATTCTTGCCATACTAATGTTTGGGTGGAAGTATCTCTTCGTGGTTCTGAATCGCCAATTTCTGAAGAATAAAGATGTTGTGTATGCTTCTTAACCATTAATATATTTTCTTTTGTGAAGTGTCTGCTCAATTTTTTTGTATATTTTTCTATTTTTAACTGTATTTTTTGTTCATTTATTGTTCTAGGTATTCTTGGTATATTCTGCATACAAGTTCTTTGTCAGATAAATGTATTGAGAATATTTTTTCTCATTTGGTGGCTTACTTATTCATTTTCTTAATGATTTCTTTTGATGAGATTTTATTTTTTTTTTATGAAGTCCAATTTATCAATTTTTTTTCCTTACAGATATTTTGTGTCTGGTCTAAGAAATCTTTGCCTACCCCAAGGTCATGAAAATATTTTCTTCTAGAAGTTTTATAGTGTTAGCCTTTAGGGCTATGGTCCATCTTGAATTAGTTTTAGTATATGGTGAGCTAGGGGTTGAAGTATTTTTCCAAATGCCTATCCAGTCTTTTCTTTCTCCATTGAACTGCTTTGGCACCTTTGTTGAAAATCAGTCGACCAATCGGTATGACTCTTTTTCTGGAAAATATTCTATTCTTTTGACTGACTTGTCTATCCTATACCATCTTCCCTGGATTAGCTTCATGAGTTTTATTTTTTTAGTTATTTTAACTTTTTTAGTTTTGTCTTCTCATTGTGGCTACTTTTCTGTCCTGTGGGTAGGTATTAGGTTCAGAGTTTTTTTTTGTTTGTTTGTTTGTTTCTGTTTTTTGATTTTAGAAAGAGAAGAAGGGAGACAGAGAGAGACATTGATGAGAGAGAACATTGATTGGCTGCCTTCTGCATGTCCCCCACTAGGGATTTGGCCCACAACCTGGGCATGTGCCCTGACCTGGAATCGAACCAGCGACCTCTTTGTGCATGGGTCAATACTCAACCATGGAGCCACATTGGCCAAGCCAGAGTTTATTTTTGAAGTTATTACAACTTTCAAATTGCTCTGGATTTTAGAGTGTCTATAAAATAGGAGAAATAAGAGCTCTCTTATAGGGTTGTTGGAAGAGATAAACAATCTAGTATACCTTTAAAATATATTATACTCCTAAAAAAACAATTGTATACTTAGAATGTTGCATATTTTATTTTACTTTTTGTTTTCCTTAATCTTAAGACATGTTTTCTGAAATCTCCAACAAGGGTATGTGCCCTTAGTTTCAGACTGTGGGGACATCTTGTCTGTGGATTTAGGGGAAAAAAAGATCTAAAATGATAAAAGAGTTTATGAGTACCTGATTCCTTCCTACTTATAGAAAACCTAGTCTAGTGATGATGGCAATCTTTTCTGATATTTCTCTTTTGTCTGTTTTTCAAAAGGCAAGAACTACTAGATTTCAAATACTTTATTCTTCCAGACCTTTCTGATTTGATCTCCTTTTTCTTTGTTGTGGTCACTACTCTTTGCTGAATGAATGACCTATGCTATTCCCAACCCAAAACAATGACCTTTTAAACTGTTTTAATATTTACTAAGGAATTATTTGTCCTAAAGCTTAGATTCAGTGTCCCTAATAGATTTCCGTATAGGCTAAAAGGTGGTGAGAGAAGAGTTCAAAGTCTGAACTTTTCCTTTTATCCAAACTAAAGCAAGCCAAACACCCTGCTTCTTCACTGATTTAAGAGTATATATTAAAGATGAATAAAAAGTGTCAATTCTTTTGCTACCTTTTCCCTGTTATTGCCCTAATTCATGCCCCAATTTTCACCCTCATTTCTAAATTGAAATTTTTTCTTCCTCAAGTTTAGTGAACTTTTTACTTTTTTGGCTCTTGTGCTTACTCGACTGAATCTCCTTGAGCATAGTTATTTGATTTTATTTGTCTTAGCTTCAGATTTTAGCATCAAGCCAAGCGCCTTCTATTGACTTCATAAATGGTTATTGTAGTACATTTTTCACAGTCAAGTGCTGATGTGGTACCAAAGACAGTATCATGTGTGTAATAGACAGGCAATGATTGTTCATGGTTTGTTGATAGCAGGAACTCAGTATTTATTTATTGATTGGTTAAGTTTAAATACATTTTACAATTGAGCATCAGATGAGTTAGGTGCTCCTTTTCTTTCCAAAGCTTTTTAGAACTGCTCACTGGAACTCTGTAGAGCACATTATTTAACTTATAGCTGTCCGTACCTTTTCTGTAATGTTACTCATAAGGTTTGGGCCATATCATCTCATAATAAATGAAGAGTTTTTAAATGCTTGCAGTACTAAACTCCTGTGGTCAGAATTCCGAAGAGACTTATCTCAAATTCTATCCTATTCCAGATGCTGCCACAGCCAGGTTCCCATATACTTTAATAAGATAGGTGAATGAATATAGTAGTTTTCAAAGGATACAGACATGAAAACGAAGCGCTAATGTCTTCTGATGCTAGCTTTTCCATTACGCCTACTGATACGGTTATGTAGAAATTGTTTTCAGGGCCTATGATTAATTCCTCTTTCCTACAGCAAACTGCTAAGCCTTACTCCCCTTTTTTGGTAGAATTTGGACTTGTCAATCAAACCCAAGACAGTTAGTTCTGTGGGCACCCCTTAAAGCCTAAAGAAGGTAACATTAGAGCCAAAAAGAAAAAAAGGTAGCATACCACACACAGTGGATGGTAAATGTGTGAGAAGTATCACCAGGAGAGAAGTAACATAGATTGAAAACATAAATCCTTAAACATTTTTGGATAAACCATGGGAGCTAGATCCATAAACTTTGTGGGGTTAGGAAGCTTGGAAACACCCTTACTGTAGGTATTGATGTGCCTTCCTAAAATATTCCCTAAATGTCCGTGCAAAACCCATACTGAACTGATTGCATAGTTAACTGAACTAGTAAAATCTCCACTTCTATTTAGGATTCTGAACATGAGGGGACAGAGGGAGGAAGCAAGGCATCTGGGATCACAGATTGGAATAATATCGCTGATTTATACTGACTTTTGCATTGTGTCAAAGCCTTGCACCGGGACAGGGAAAGTGACCTTCAATGGAACATAATGTTATCAATGACTTCTAATCAGTCTCCCCCCTCCTGAGATTTAAATTTTCTATAAAGCTTGTAATGTTTTCAAGATTCAACATTAAGGTCTTTTTACATTGTTTCCAGCTAAATGAGAGTTAAGGGCCTTCGCCTTGCTTCCCCACTCGCGTACTTGAAATGCTGGAGGGCAGAGTTCCTCCACACTCGCTGACGTCCCCGCCCCACCGAGCGGGACAAATGGCATTTCAGGAAGGAGAGCTGCTGGCTTCAGGCGCCAAATACAAGCTAGAAAAGGGGACCCAGTAGGAGGTGGTTACATCGGGAATGAAAATCAGGCTATTTAGGGGAGGAGCTTGGCGAGGTGGGAGTGTTGCTTTAAGAGCTGGAGCACAAATTAATGGGCAATTAGCCAGAGTGGGCGTGGCGCCTGCGTCCGGCCCGCCTGCGCGCGGAGCCCGCGCCCGCAGTTCAGCGACCCGCCCGCTGGGACAGGTTTGATCCCGGTTCCTGCCGCGATCCACGGTGCGTGCGTGCGTGCCGGGAGGGTGGGGGTTTGCGGGGACAGGCCGCGGACCGCGTGGCGGGCAGGCGCGGGGAGGTGGGTGGCGGGCGGAGGGTTAAGAGGTCTTTGCTCCAGTTAGCTGCTCACCCTGCTTTGTAGTGGGTCACCCCGGAAAGGGAGCTGTGTTCCCGCACCCTTGTAGGCAAATTTTCCCTCTGTCGAACTCCAGGAATGCAAGTTGAGAGTCATTTTTGCTTGTTGAAGTGGTGATTTACTACCTCTTTATTCTCATCCACTTTGAAAGGGCCCCCTTGAACTTTTGGGGAACAAAAAGTACGTGCAAGTTGTAGTGACGCCTACGAAGTCCCTGCAGTTTCAGCAACTTCTGTGCACCCCGAGAGTGTAAAATCCCGAAGCGGCTCTACCTCCTGGTCCTGCCGGCCTCTGTACGCGGCGGAAAGACAGGTGGATCTCCCGTGCACTTTGATAGGCGCGAGAACCATCAGCAAGTTTACAATAATAATCGTAACAACAAAGTGCAGGAGGACATGGATTAGACCCTGTGATATTTTTATGGCCAGTTAACTGGAAAGCTAAGGATGAAACTCCCTAGAAGGCTCTGCACCCCCCAATCTGGAGGAGGAAGTCACATAGAAGGACTGAAAGAGAAGGGGACCTTCTTTGGGAGTGAAGGCCTCAGATATTATTGCTCTCTCTGGACTGGGTGGTGGAGAGAAGGGGGTCTAACATTCCCCCCCTTCCTTCCTTTGAAATAGTTCCAAGGCCTCTTGGTAGTCCTGGCACCACTTTGACTTTGCCCTTTTCCCTGTTCCTGATTTTCTCCAAGGGAGTGCCAAGTGGGCTTTAATTAAGCTTTGTTTACAGCCAAAGGGACACTTCCCCAGTCCCCAGCAACAGCCTGGAGTTCCCAGCGCCCTAGCCTGCTGTGAATACCAAGCTAGACACACCTTTGGCATTCTTTGTGGGCTTACAACCTGGGAGTCAGGGTCGTGTGGGGACTTTGCTGTCCTCTGCTGTGTTCAAAAGAAAAGGACTAAGTGTGTTGACCATCTTGGATCACTTTTTTAAAATGGGGAATCTGTCCACATTTGCATGTTGCTCTCTGTGGCAGACAACTACAGATTTTGCTTTTAGAGTGGAGTTTTTTCATCACTGAAGCTGGAAAAGGAAGGCAGAACAGTCCCCTGAGAACAGCCTCTCCCACATCTCCCCAGAGTCACCAGCATTTTCCTCCCAGCACCTGAGCTCTGAAGTAGGAGTCCCAGTAGGCAGTCACCTTAATCCGTCCAGGCAATTCTAGAGCTCATGTAAACAGCAACAAAAGGGCACTGAATTATCTTTTCCTTATCTCGTGGGTAGTGTTCTGTTGGTTTCAATGTAAAACTGCAGAGTCATGGCCCTGGGGATGTGTATCCAGATTTCCTCCGTGTTTCACAATATTGACAGAGAGGCTGCCATGAATAAAGGAACTTTGCTCTTTTTGGCCAAGAACCCGCAAACAGGAGGACTATTTCTCAGCTGAGAGCTGAAGACTCAACTGCGATAGTGGTGGGGGAGGGGAAGACAAGAAAGGAATGGCATTTGACAGAAAATTCTCCGAAAAGACAGGAGCAATCTTAAATTTTTCCGCCTGAAGGGGGAGAGACCATGAGTTAAACACTTGAGAAAACTGGGTTCCGGTGTTGGTCCCTCAATTGTGAATTTGGGTCCAGTTAGTCACTGTACCTCTCTGGGCCTCAGTTTCCCTATATGTTAAAGGTGGAGACAAATATTATGCTCTGACTATAGTAGAGTTTTCCAGATCAAGTGAGATAATGTGAAAGCTTCTAGAAAACTCTAAAATGTTATGCTCAGTGCCTAGAACAGCGCCAAAGCAGGAGCTTATCTATTTACCCGATGCTTATAGAGCATTTCTGTACATTTGACTCATCTGATGCTTGCAAGATCCTGGAGGTAAGAAATATTACTGACTTCATTTTACCGGTGAGGTAAGTAACAGAGTCGAGATCCACCTGAACTCCAGGCTAGGTCCAGAGTCTGTGTGCTCAACACTCCACCTTTGTTCTCTCAAAGGCTGTCACCTCCACATGAGGGGACTGAGCTCGGCTCTCTGCTAAGACAGATTGAGGGATTCTTCTCTATTATGCCAACCAGTAATGGCCAATAAAAGAAACAACACACTATACATTATAATACTTTTTTCCTATAATTTATAAGCAAATTTCATATTTTGCTTTGCTTACTTTTACTTAGATTATTTCTACCTCGTTTCTAGAATACTCAAATTATCTTACACTTGACCCCCTTATTATTCCTACTATACTGTGCTCCTTTCTCCTGGTGACTTTTTCCTGTAAGAATCTTTCAGTAATTTTGCTTTGAGTGTACCGCCCAGCGTGATATATATAGTCTCAAGGCAACTTACTGGCAAATCAACTTTGAAAACAGAAGTTTAGACTGGCAGCGCCTATCTCATGGTATAAATGACTCCTGTTTGTTAACGTTTTACCTTTACTCCTCACCTGGCCCTCGGGTGTGCAGAAGGTGAGAGGTGGTGGTCCCAGAGAGGTGTGCCATGGACCCACGGGGTGTGACCTCAGGCGCAGTGTTGACCCATCTCCCAAAACCACAGGCCTGAGGAGTTAAACCACATTTTTGGTGATTGAAAAACTCTCTGAGTGAGATGCACTTTCGATACATTTTTCACATTTAAAGAAGAAGCGTCCCATTAGCCGTTTCCTCCAACTGCTGACATCTGTGTGTTCTTTTCCCACCAACAGCTCCGAAAGGCTGCCGCTTTTTCTCTACTCTTTCCAGACCAGTTTTCATCGAGGGGCAAACATTCTCTGAACTTCTATTCCATTGCTAAATAAACTGTTTCATTCTGGAGACATTAGTAGAGGCCTACTGTTACAGTTTGAAAATTATTGTTAAATGGCAACACTTCCTACTTGATAAACTTTTCTTAAATTATTATTATTTTTAATTAACCTTCTCACTGTTTCATATCTCTTTCCAGAAGTATAGGACTTTGGGATCCCTTATTAAGCTAATTACTTGAACTCCGAAGGATAGAGCAGTTTATTCATGACTTTCACCCCTCAGTACTAGAACAAGTGCAGATTAATTAAATGTTACTAAAAGTATTACCTTGCACAGAGGCTTTATCTGACATAATGTGCTTTCAAGACTACTGACTTGTAGGGGGGAATTAATTTAACATATGTATTTTGTTTTGTTTTAAACTAGAATATATCAATTCTCTTTGCCTAAATCTGAGGAGTACATTTTTGGCTTATCCTTTACAATAGGGGTTACATAGGAAAGTTTGGTTTATCTGCAAAATGGGATTAATGATACCCACCTTGTAGCGTAACTGGAAGAGGAGAGGAGATAGCAGGTGTAAGGGGTACCAACAGTGCCAGCCACAAAGTACACGTCAGTCAGTGTGAGTTGAATGTGAATTCAGCAGTTTGTGGTTTCTTGAAGTAGACAGTGCAGAGTGGTTCATGTGTGAGGTATGAGGTCAGAGACGTGGGTTCGTGCTCTGACAATAGGTATTCTAGTTATGAGGATTTTAGTATCAGAGTTATGAAGCTTATGTAAGGCAATGCACATAAAGCACATGCGTAGTTGGACTCATACTTGATGCATAAAATTAAATATATATGTATATTGTATGTGGTTTATATCACAGTCATCAGGAGCACATAGGCAGCTTTATGACCAGTAACCGATTAGAGAAAAATTTATAGATTCTTGGTAGATGGAGAAACTGATTAGAATTTGACAGAGGTCGGTCTAATATGATTGCATACAGGGGTTGAGTTTTCAAGAATGAACATTGTCTAGAAGAGACTACACTCCATGTTCAGCAACTTAAATAGTATTTGAGCTTGGGTATGAGAAAAGATGAGTGTTGATGTGAAAGAGATAGAAGAAGCAGATAACAGAGCTGATAAAGAACACAAAGTGGTTAAAAAGCATGACTACCAGATAGTGCAAAGAGTTTAAATTTTAAGATTTATCCTAAATTCCTACCCACTTTGACTTCAGTATCACCAGGGTACCTTAGCTTTCCTCCTGAGCACATTCCCAATTAATACATTTCACTCTAGACTAAGATAGTTACATTCAATTTACTCTTGGCATCTTTTAGATGGAAGTAGATATGGCCTGTGAGTCGTATAAAGCTAATCCTCCTTCCCTTATTCCTTCAATGAAAGTAGCATAAATGCCAATTTTTCGCCTTGCATTTGCAAGCCTATTTTATGTTTGGGTTCATTATCTTCCTCCTCTGCCTCCGCCTCCTCCTCCTGCTCCTCCTCCTTGATACCCTTCCTCCTCCCCACTCCCCCTTCCCCTCCCCCATTTGTCCCTCCTCCTCCTTCTTCACTTTCATTAGTATTTATGATGACCATGATCATGTATTAGTGATGATCATGATAAGGATGTAATAAACTTTACTGAGGGTTTTTAATAAGCCAGGTGCTCTAAGTTTATTCTGCATGTTATCTCAACTAAATCCTGACAACAACCCAATAAGTTAGGAGCTATTATTAGTTCTATCTTATAAATGAAGTTTAGCCTCAGAAAGGTCAGCCTTTCAACCAAGGTTAATAACCAAATGGTGGGATTGGAATTCAGTTCTTGGAACCTGAGATCTTGACTACTAAAATGACAAAAACCTGTAAGTTTGGTTTCCAAAGCAGAACATATGTAAGAATTTAGGCATTCCTAACCAGACATTAATGGTACTATTATGTACATAGTTCTAAAGAGCTCAATCTATGAACTCTGGTCTTTTGTGTCCAACTTGTTGTTCATCTTGATGTAAAAATATGACGTTAGTCTATGTTTATGGTGTTTTGTTTATTTATTTGCCTTGTAATACCCCCTACATTTTCATATTCATTCTGCTCATTTGATGTCTTCAAGCTTAATGATAGAGAACTAGAAAAAAAATTCTGTTTATTTTGAAATTTTAGAAAAACTAAATGATTATTTTTTTCTGTAAATAACCTAAGATATTATAAAGAACAGTGTGGTTAATACTGCAATATAAGTACACCAAGTGATCATCTTATTTGGAGTATTTATGTCTGATTTTTCTTATCTTGTCTACAGTCTTTTTTAAGATTCCAGAACAAAGCTGAAAAAAATGGTTGACCTTGCTCAGCTAATGGAAAATGAAGTATTCATGGCCTTTGCCTCCTATACAACAATTGTTCTTTCAAAAATGATGTTTATGAGTACTGCAACCGCATTCTATAGATTGACAAGAAAGGTAAGAAATTTGCAGGACATATTTTCTCACTTTTAAGAGTTGAAATTCTGAAAGGCGATATTAATTTCCTTTTTCCACATTGTTTAATGCTGCAAATTAAGTATGCAATCATTTGGTACAAATGGATTTGATATATTTATGGAACCTGTATTTTCCCCCAGAAACTAGTTTTTTCATTATGGATTTTACCTTTTGTCATGCTGCTTCAGCATGTGAGATTTCTGGAGTATCTGAGTTTTCAAGGAAACTATCCGTGATTTTGAAGTTAATTTTATCAACCGGAGTTTACAAAATACTCATTTTCTAAGTGTTTCCAGCTCAGTTACAGGTCAAGGATATGCTTTGGGGACAAAATTAAAGTTCTTATTCTCACAGTAGAGTTTCTTGTGGGACAAGATATTTGAATTTTGTATACTTCTGACTTTTTTTTTAATCCTCACCCAAGGATATTTTTCCATTGATTTTCAGATAGAGTGGAAGGGAGGGAAGGAGAGAGAGAGAGAGAGAGAGAGAGAGAGGGAGAGAGAGAGAGAGAAATAGAAATATCAATGTGAAAGAGACACATCGACAGGTTGCCTCTCGCACGACCAGGGCCGACGGGGGGGGGGGGGGGGGGGGGGGGCAGGGGTGAACTGCAACTGAGGTATGTGCCCTTGACCGGAATTTAACCCGTGACTCTTTGGTTCAAGGGCCATCCTCTAACTGCTGAGCCAAATAGACCAGAGCTACTTCTGACTTCTTAAGTGAATACTCTTGCTACCCAGTGTTTTAAGAGTGATTTAAAAAAGGAGAACTGGAGGCATGGGGAAGGTGGTAGAAAGACATCCTGTATTCATGCAAGGTGTATGACACAGTGAGGGGAGTCCAGCAACTCAACCTTGTCAGAGTTCAACTGTTTTCATTGGTGTGGTCCCTGAGCCTATTCAGCAGTTTCTTGTCCTGAAAACCACCTATATCAGTGTCTGTCCTGAGTTTTGTCCTCTAGAGCCTTGCTTTTATCTAGGGGTCATAGTCCTTCCTAAGGTATTTCCTTGCACTATCTTGAGGTATAATTTCTTCTCCAAGGATATTTGCATTTTAGTGGGGCACATTCTCACAGGTTTAAATCTCCAATGGGACAAGGTGTTGGAGCAGCAGGCCATAAAATAGTTGCTTACCATCAGGTTCCCACTGTCCTCCAGAAGCACAATGGCACCAAGGATAGCAGAAATATACCCTGTCTTGTAAGAAAAGGACAAAGGTGCCAGCCCATGTGGCTCAGTGGATTGATTGTCATCCTATGGACTGAGAGGTCCCGGTTGGATTCCCAATCAGGACACATGCCTGGACTGCAGGCTCCATCCCCAGTAGGGGGCGTGCAGGAGGCAGCTGATCAATGTTTCTCACATCCATGTTTCTATCTCTCCCTTCCCTTCTAAAATAAGCAATTAAAAAAAAGAAAGAAAGAAAAGAAAAGGCCAAAGGAATTGAGATTTGCAGAGTGCTAGTGATGTGTGCCAGGAGTCATGATGCTCTTTATATGTACCAGGTCCTGGAATCAGTTCACATAATTGTTAGCATTATCTCGTTAGTGTCATTATCATTAGTGTCCTCACTTTATAGCTGAGGAACTGAAAGTCAGAGGAGTAAAGCTTACCCAAGGTTTCACATCAGTAAGGGGTGAGACTGAGATTCAAATTCATATTTTTTTAAACTCAGATTTCATGTATGTTCCATATAATACAATCATTTACTTACTCAAAATATATTTACTGGCTATCTAGTGTATGCCAGGCATTTATTTAGGAACAAGATGGACAGACCTGACCTCAAGAGCTGCCACTGTATCACATTCCAGCCCATCAGTTCTCAACATCTTTATCTGGAATTAATACTCATGTCACAATAAGAAATAAAATATTCATGAGATTTCTGAGCTTAAATTAAGGCTAATTTTGTAGTTCTTGTTTTTATTTATTAATCTATTATGAATTATTAAACAATTGAATATACTTAAATATTTTTTAAGTGCACATTTCAAGTTCCAAGGGATGGGGGAATCATTTCAAACAGCATGATAATTACAGAAAGAAATACATGAACATATGCCCTAGAATGGGTATTTGGTATTGTTTATAGGAATGTAATCAACTTCTTCTATTCAACCCGAAATTTTAGTTAATTCAGTAAATGAAAAGAGGTGCACATATCCTAACAAAGTACAGAATACATTTCCTGCCCCTTGCTCTTCTAATATCTTTAGCAAGTACATGTGTGACTTTCAGAAGGGCAATCAGTAGGAAATGTTAATGCCCTTGAGAGAAGGTGCATGAACACCCCTATGAAAAAAATGCCAGTTCACCATAATAGTCAAGATAACTTAGAATTATGCTCTCTTTTTCATTTTGCTTCCTTTTCACTATTTTTATACATTGGTTTTTATTTCAGCTCTTATTTATGCTTCTCTTTTCAAAAAATTTTTGCACTGTTAATAAAAATTCAGATTTAAACTACAGATGCTCTCCTCTCCCCATGTGTTTGCTCTATTGCTCCAAATTTTCTTTCCATAGGGCCATCCTGGACGCCTGTTTCTTCCGTTAAAATGAAAATAACTTAGGTAGACTACCCCAATGTTATCTGTTATTTGAAAGCGATTTTCTTGGTATTTGGAATAGGTGTTTGCCAACCCGGAAGACTGTGCAAGCTATGGCAAAGGAGAAAATGCCAAGAAGTATCTTCGTGTAGATGACAGAGTAGAGCGTGTGCGAAGGTAAACACACTATCTCCTGAAATTGTTTATTTAGTTGAAGAGTTTTGGTCAAGGAGTTCAGTGAGGATTCTGGAGTACTGAAGAAGGGAGAAAGTCACTCATCTTATCTAGTCCGTATAACAATGGCAGAAAATTAAGGATCTAGAAGTCTTCAACTATCAACGCAATTATGCCTTTTGCTAATTTTGCTGTACTTCTGTGCACTTTGTTGGGGTTAATGACTTTGTTCTGTGTAGGAATATATCAAAACTAAGGGTAGGTAGGAGGTGAAATGAGAATAGTAGATTCTTGCAGTTTTGTTATCTTTCCTCAGAGGTGAAACTGTCAACTTATGTAAAAGGGTGAAGAATTAGGTATTTTTGCATAAGTTTCAAAGTATAAATGTGGGATGTAGCTCTCTCTCCTCTCTGTCTCTCTTTTGTAGACATTATATTTAATACACTTAGAATTCAATGAACAATGAAAAACAGTAAGCCAAGATATCATCTACATAGCTTCCTAACAGTACAATTAAATATACTTATTTTAAAAGCACATTGAATTTTATTCTGGAGGTATAGTTCTTAATTCTTGTCATAAAGTCAGGTAAATTGAAACTTTTTTTCAGCTTTATTAAGGTATAACTGACAAATAAGATCAGAAGACATTTAAAGTATACAACATTCTGAATTAATACACATATCCATTGTGAAAGTATTCCCCCCATCAAGTAAATTAAGTAAATTAACATTTCACCTCACGTATTTACCCCCTCCTATTTTGTTTTTTTTTTTTGGTGAAAATATTTAAGTCCTCCTACTCTCTTAGCAAATTTCAGTGAAATAGTACAGTGTTGTCAGCTATAGTCATCATGTGATACATTAGACCCTCAGACCTTATTTCTCTTTTAACTGAAAGTTTGTACCCTTTTACAAAACTCGTCTTATCATCCTCACCCCCTCAACCCGTGGCCATCACTTCTACTCTATTTCTGTAAGTTTGACTTTTGTTTATTTTTCTTTAGATTTCTCGCATATAAGGGATACCATACAATATTTGTGTTTCTATGTCTGGCTTATTTTTCATACCATAATGCCCTCCAGATTTATTAAAGTTGTTGCAAATGACAGGATTTCCTTTTTGAAGGCTGAGTAATATTTCACTGCATGTATATCACATTTTCTTTATCCAGTCATTCATTGCTGGACGCAAGTTCTTTCCATTATTTGGAAAGAATAATGCTACCTGGTTATGAATAATGCTACACTTACATTTAGCTTTAGAAGACAGGGAATAATGAATATATGTTTCTGCTGATTTTTAAATTAGTGTTTTACCAGTCATCTTTTTCCACAGGGCCCATCTGAATGACCTTGAAAATATTGTGCCATTTGTTGGTATTGGCCTTCTGTATTCCTTAAGTGGTCCAGATCTCTCTACAGCTCTACTGCACTTCAGACTCTTCGTTGGAGCACGGATCTACCACACAATTGCATATCTGTTACCCCTTCCCCAGCCAAATCGCGCTTTGGCTTTTTTTGTTGGATATGGAGTTACTTTTTCAATGGCTTACAGATTGCTGAAGAGTAGATTGTACCTGTGAGGAGAATCATACCACTCATCATCCAATTATTTTCTAAGAATTCTGTACTCAATTTATAATGAGTTCTAAGTGGGAGGGAACAGAGAAATTGAGATGAGGAAAACCTAGGCTGAATATTAACATCACTAATATCCTTGACTCTAGTGTTATATTTGAGATAGAAATTTAATGAAATTCTTAAATCTTTTCTCTTATTCTTAATGTTCTTTGTTGTAAATTTTGATTATAATTTGTAACATTCATTCACCATTTCATATTTTAAATCTATAAAAAGAGCGAGTGCATGTATGAGAAACTGATTTCAATATTGCTGAAAGGGGCATATGAAATAAAGAATTTAAAGAATAATTTTACTTGGCTTTATTTTCCCCAACTTGTATTTTCAAAACCTTCAAATCTATGGAAAAGTGGAAAAGTAAAACAATGAGCCTTTTATGTCTTTCACTTAGATTTACTAATTGTTAATATTTTGCCATATTCGCTTTAGCTCTATCACTCAGTGTTTTTTTTTTTCCTGAACAATCTGAAGGTAAGTTGCAGATATCAATATAGTTCACTCTGAAATATTTCACCATGTGTTTTCTGTAAACAATACAGTCTCCAAATAACCACAATACCTTTATCACATGCAAGAAATGTAATATTAATACACTAACATTAATTCATATGTATAATTCACATTTAAATTTCCCCAATTTTCTTAATAATGTCCTTTATAACTGCTTTATTTTTGATCCAAGAATCAAACAAGAACCACGCAAGTATTTGGTTACCATTTCTATGTAGTTTTCAATAAAATGAAAGAGTTCCTTCACTTTTTTCCCCTTTGCCTTTTATGGCCTTCACGTTTTTTGAGAATAGGCTGGTTGTTTTGCAGAATGACCCTTAATCTGGTTTTCTTGTGCCTGCTATTTTCTCATTTTTAGATTCAGTTTGTCCCATTGTTAGTGATGTTAAATCTGATTGGTTTAGTAAACTATTATCAGATTTATCCATTGTAATGGTATCTTTTTATTTTTATAATCATGTGTGGGTTGATAAATTGAGAGTTTGCAAATCCTCTTCTATAAACTTTCACCCAATGGATTTAACATCTAATGATGCTCAGTTGGTTTCTGCATAAAAATATAATTATGTAAACATAAAATTTTATAAAATATATAGGTACATAAACTGATAAACACCTATATCTACACATTTAGATTTTTTTGTCTTAAATTGAATTATATATATACTTAAACCTTTATAATAAAGGATGAACTTTTAAAATAACTATTTTTCTTGTACTTGCTATTCAATTTATATTATTTGTTTTCCTTTCTATCTCTTGATTAGTCTTAATTTTAAATACATATTTCTTAAATAGTGCTTCACGTGACTCTCATAATTGTTCATTTAGGTTTACCACACAAGGGAGAAGTAATTTGTAATATTTTAGGTTTCATAATTTGAGCAACTCTTAAGTCTATAAGTAAAATCTATTGGACAATTGATTATGGAGAATTCTGTACAAATTTCTCTTCACTTTTTTTTTCTAATTTTAACAATTTGCATATCATGATGTTCTCTTCAGGGAAGCTTTGTGGTATAATTAATGGAAAAGACCATGAGCTCAGAGGAGACAAGTCCAAAATTCAAGGATTGGATATGCCTGCTTAATATCTACCCCCCGCTCCCGACCTCTATTATCTAAATTTGGGCAACCTATTTACCCTGTCTGATGGGTTGTTTTCTTCAAACATTTTTTGAAGTTCAAATGATATGTGTGTGAGGCATATGGAAAGTACTTTCTGAACAATGACGTGTTCTCCATGTGTAAATTATTTGAGTAATCTATCAATCATAAAAATTCAGGTGCCTTAGTTCTTCTGAGCTTCATGTGAGATATTTGTGTAACCGTTGTCTTCTCTCATTTTTCTTTTTCTTTCTACTACCAAGGTAACGCTCCTTAGAGTAGTAGCAAAGTGGATTGTGGTGGTTGTAACAGTCATTCATTCAGCTACTGATACTTGATAGCCATTACTAGACAACTGTCAGGATAAAAAAGGCTTTAGCCCGGCCAGTGTGGCTCAGTGGTTGAGGGTCCACTGGTTTGATTCCCGGTCAGGGCATATGCCCATGTTGTGGGTTCAATCCCCAGTGGGGAGGCATGCAGGAGGCAGCCAATTGATGTTCTCTCTCATCCATGTTTCTATCTCTCCCTCTCTCTTTAAAATCAATAAAGAAAAAATATTTTTTTAAAAAAAGGTTTTTAAACATTATACTCTGAGGTGTAAGAACTATGTATATGTGCAGAACATATGTAAGGAAAAACAAAAAAGTATAGAGATTATCCATTTCAATTTTCAAGTTTGAATAATAGTTATAAGACAATTTTTAAATGGTTTCTAACTATACACTCACAAAAGAAGTTGTAGATGTTGGGGGATTTATTAGTGAATTTTTTAATGGAAGAAGGTGGATGAAGGGAAAGAATGTTTACTGGTCGAGTCTCTCCCTCACCAAGAAGTTCCTGCCTGCCCTGGCCGGTTCGGCTCAGCGGTTAGAGCGTCGGCCTGCAGTCCAGAGAGGCCCGGGTTCGGTTCCCGCTAAGGGCACGTACCTCGGTTGCAGTTTGTCCCCGGCCCTGGTTGGTCGTGCGGGTGGCAGCCACTCGATGTGTCCCTTCACGTCGATGTTTCTCTCTCTCTCTCTCCCTTCCTCTCTCTCCCTCTCACTCTATCTGTACAAAAAATGGAAAAATATCCTCCGGTGAGGATAAAAAAAAAAAAGTTCCTGCCTGATCTGATACATGACACACTGGGCTTTAGAGTGACATCTGCACTGAGTGACCTCAGCCCAGGATTGGACAATCAGGAAAGAGAGAGTGCACAGTTTACACTAACTGTTACCTGTAAAGCATGTTGGATATGTTCATGTTTCTGCCGTTTAATTAGAATTTGTTGAAAGAAAGGACTATATTTATTTTCGTATATGTATTCTCAGTCATGTACACAGGCATACCCTGCACACGTGCACACACACACAGTGCCACCACCATCATTATGGATATTTAGTATTTTGATAACATTACTTTTTTAAACGTTATCATCTCCCTTCACGAATGCCTTACTCTGTCTTCATCTACCCTAACCAACTCTACCATAAGGAAGTCAAGATCTTTCCTCAAAAATTAGAAGGTATTTATCTGTAATTCTTACAGAGGCATCATCTAGGGCAGCGATGGGAGTTTGGGGGGGAGGGTGCAGTAACTTAAATGGGGCTTGAAGGTAGGGCAGGTCTTATCAAAATCTCCAGCTAGGGTCTATGCACACACATAAATATATATATATATATATATATATATATATATATATATATATATATATATATCATAATCCATGTTATTTAGAACATAGCCATATTATTTTTGCACTTTAAAGTAGAACCTTAGTAGGTAGGGACATCTATCTATAAGATACTGATTTGGCTTGGACATGTCGAGGATGGTGGTGGGACATGCAAATTTCATATATATCAAGAGGCTGTATAGTGTAAAAAAGTTGAATCAATGCCAAATGAATGAATCCTTCTGTTTGGAAGGCTCAGAGACTTACTCTTTCAGGGTATAAGTATGATTAGGCCCTGAGAGGTAGACTTATAAGAACCAAAACATAAATGAGACTAGCAGGGAATTCATTGAAACTCAGTCTTGTCACTGTTCCATGGTCTGGTGGTCTAAATCCCAGGATCAGTCCATTCTGCCCTCATGGTCAAGGTGCCTTGGAAGCTAAATCTTGATAAAAAAAAGCTGTGCTGATTTTCTCAGAGGAAGCAAGGCTAAAGGAACCAAAATTACTCCATGACTCAGTGCTTTGCACATTGTAGGTAGGCCTATGTGACCAAAAAAAAACCCAAACATGTTTGTATAAGGAGAGTTGTAAGCAAGGAGAGTTAGATCAGTCAAATGTTAAATAGTGTAAGACTAAGATTCTCTGACACATCCGTTTCAAGAGACAGGTGATTCGTGAATGTGACTAATATACTCATAGTCCGTTGCCTACAGCACCGAGTGTTCATCTCCACACTTGGAAGAGCCTTGCAAACACGACCGGCAAGACCACAATAACACGAGCCCCTCACCATCGTGTGCGCTTTCAGACGACACAGTCAATGCTTTATATTATTTTTATTTTAATGTTTTTTTCTTGACTGATTTTAGAGAGAGAGAGAGATAGAAACATCAGTGAGAGAGAACATCGATTGGTTGCCTCCTGCATGCCCCCACCGGGGATCAGGCCCACGACCTGGGCATGTGCCCTGACTGGGAATCAAACCGGCGACCTCTTAGTGCATGGGTCAACGCCCAACCACTGAGCCACACTGGCTGGGCTGCTTTATATTCTTTTTCACTGTTTCCTTGGCTATATAATCTCTCTTCTGATTGAAATATTATTATTTTTTTACTATATTTAAACACAAAGAGTCTTCCTTTTGGGTCTTATTGACCTGGCTATTAGTGCCTTGGCAGGACTATGCTGTGTTCAGCTAGGAGGTTAACGATCAAAGAGTCATTATACAGCTCTAGCCATTTTTCTCAGTGGTTAGAGCGTTGGTCCATGGACCAATGAGTCACGGGTTTGAATCTGATCAAGGGCACGTACCTTGTCTGCAGTTTGTCCCCGGCTCTGGTCGGGTCATGCAGGGGGCAACCAGTCTATGTGTCTCTCTCACATTGATGTTTCTCTCCCTCCCACTCTATCTGATGACAAATAGGAAAGTATCCTCAGGTGAGGATAAAAAAAAAAAAAAAGTCATTATACAGCCTCTGGTTCCTTATCAGGGGAACTTCAAGAAACATCTAAGCACTACTGACACCTACCCTCCCACTAACAGTCAATGATTCTAAAGCCAGGCGTTTCTCCAGACAGTGAGACGGGCATAGAGTTTCTGGTGCCCTAAACAGTAAACTTGAATGCAGAAGAGAGACTCAAGCCTCGGGAATCCTGCATGGATTCTATAAGCCATTCACCTGAGGATTCTACTTTATAAATACTAAAAAAAAAAAAAAAAGTTTTTGAGTTGCCTAGTTGCATCACACCCATTCTTCTTGGAGGCAGATGTTGAGAAGTGAGGCAGTTTGCCTTGGGAGTCTCTACAATCCATTTAGAAACAGCAGCACAAAAATCCTATGATCATCTCTCCCCTGCCAGCCTGAAATGTCAGCCCTGTGGGAAGCTGATAGGTGTTCCTGCTATCAGCAGAGGAAGCACCTCTACATTCGTATCTTTCAGAGTATTTTATTCACTATATATCCTATGTAAACTGTTGGATTTGACAAGGAGGAGTTGTCGAAGGCAGACTACTGGGAAGGGGCGATGTTGGGTTGAATTTGGCACCAATCTCTCATGCTTGACAGCTCAAGTACAAGATTGTGGATGAGCTATTGGACCTATGAGCCTCCTCAGTCAGCGAGCACGGGCCCTAAGTCACATTTAATTCAGAAAGGCCTGACAGCCCTGCATAAAATGGGAGCAGTAAAATGGAGAGAGAGGAACTGTGTGCAAGAGAGGGCCATTTAAGTTATTTCCTTTTACTGGAGTTTTGGAAAATATGAACCAGGACAATATAGACGATGATACACCACAAGGAGATATGCGTTAGCAATTTAAAGAAAATAATCCAAACTTTAAGCCAGGGTGACACGATTTTAATAGCTAAAACCTAAGAGGGGGATCAGTGGAGAGTTAGATGTAGCTGCCTAAAATTCCTCATCTACTGGCTTAAACTATCTATACCTATATCTCTATATAAACAAATCCACCTAAAATAAAGAGAAAAGTAAAAGACTGAATTTGTGTAGCAGAACACTGGATTTCAGAGTTTTGGCTCTGACTCTTTCTGGCTAACCTCCTGAAGTCCCCATCTTTTATTATAAAATGCCAGAATTAAAACTTTACCTATGTGCTAATAGTCTTTTGCCATAAAAATTTTGTGTAATAATCACCCATGATTTGATAGTTTTGCAAATGATTCTGCAAGATTGAGCTAACATTGTCTGGGTTTGCTCATGCGTCTGCTGGCAGCTACAGGTTTTCCAGGCGGTTCTGCTGGATGTGTCTGGCTGTCTCACA